ATTGAAGGGAAACGGACGAAGATTAAAGGTAAAAAGAGCCGACCGACCCATTAACGGAAGACCCTTCCTTTACGCACGTCGCATGCCGACCGACCAAACCCTTTCTTTACGCACGCCGTCACGGACCCTCCCGGCACCGCGGCGACAATCTTGGGTGGCCCGACACACGTCGAGAACTGAACAGCACGTGATAAGAAACGTATGTGGACGTACACGGACAGTTGATTTCGTTCTCAGTGTTTGACAATGGTTCTTCCTCTTTTTTACTTTCTTTTTTTTTCTAGTTCCCTCTCACTCTCGCAAACATGTTTCAAGGCGAGAGGGACGCGGCAGCAACGAAGTTTGGAAATTCATGTTAGTATAACTCATCCCCAGATGAAGGGAGGACCCCTCCGGAACTGTTGGGAAATACATATGTTTATCCTTGTTGAAAACGCTACCGTTGTGCCATATCCCATACCTTCACAAAGACTAACTGGCCCATTGAAGTATATATATATATATATATATAATATATATATATATATATATAGTCTAGTAGATCCTCCGTGAGCGGTCACAACGTGGTTTATTTCGACGTTTCGGCCTAGAGTCTGGCCTTCATCAGGACAGACTCTAGGCCGAAATAAACCACGTTGTGACCGCTCACGGAGGATCTACTAGACTATATGCAACGCTACGGCCACTCAACCACCATGCCTGCCTATATATATATATATATATATATATATAGTATATATATATATATATATATATATATATATATATATATATATATATATATATCTTTTTGATGGCTGCATTGCATTTTTGATGGAGGTGAAAATGCGGTATGCCCGTGTGTTCAGATTTGTGTGGTGCACGTTAAAGAACCCCAGGTGGTCGAAATTTCCGTAGCCTTTTGCTACAGCGCCTCTCATGATAATATGGTGGTTTTGGGACGTCAAGCTCCCCATATCAATCAATGGGCCAACTCACGACCATTCAGCCAGCATGCGCGTACACTAATCACTGCCCCACACCACGCTACAGAAGCGTTTGAAATGAAACGTAGCTACCGATGAGTCGTTTACACGCGCGACCATTCCTGCAGTAACCCCAAAAACGGGTGCTTGACTCCACAAGAAGGAAAGTGCCCCGCCGCTGCTTTGGTGCCGAGTGTGATCTTTTTCGAACATTTCGTCTTTTGGAGGTACAAAGAGCTCTATTCGCGATAACTGCGAAGTTGCTCTAGAAAACGTTTTAAAGTGTATGTGTTTTGTGTACAACTATGTGAGTTCATCCTTGCTGAGAGTAAGAGAACTAAGCAGTGCTGCGTGCGTGTGCTTCTCTTCTGTCAGAGTTGTATTTTGACTGTAAAAGACAATTCAAGTTGAGTGAAAACTAACTAGCGCGACTCTTAGTTAGGCCTTCATCGTGAAACAAACCACGGTCTTTCCCGTTATCTCAGGTCCAGTGGGTCAAGCTGCGGGGCAAGCCAGAAGCTGAGCTTCCTTCCCACTGTACTCGGGTCCACTGCTTTATTCTTTGCTACCTTGCAAGATGCTGCCATCGCTCCTAGTTACTGTAAGCAAGGGTGATTAGGTTTATCAAACACTACAGCCAAACCTTTTTGTGGCACTTGTAGTACAGAAAAAGTAAAGCATTCAAAAAGGTTCATCACAATGATAGGCTCACAGCAGTTTCAATAAAGCTGCGATGACGCTATTCATTTTCGATTAAAGAAAATAACTTCCAGCAAATGCTCTGACTGGTCCATAAACGATTGCTTGCTCCTATCCATAACAAAGCAAGTACAAGACGTTTTTGCGCCTTGTACTGTAGCCCGATTTGCTTTGCTACAATACAAAGTGTAAGAGTCGCTTTGGCGGCCCACAACGCAAAAAACATTCAAGAAAAATTGTCACAGCAGACATTTAGGAAAAGTTCACTACATCACAATATTGTCTGGTAATCTTCCTATTTCCTCAACAATATCATTGAGTGATTACTGTGGTGAAGGAAAAATTTGCCTCAAATGTTGGTTTCCCCAGCGTGAAGCTGACAGTGAAATTTCCAAAAGTCGGGGGGGGCTCAGCCCTCCGACTTTTTTCAGTGGGCGGCTCGCGCCCCCCTTTCCCCCCCCCCCCCCTTGGCCTATACGCCTATGTTTCTAGGTGCGATGCAAATTATGTAATTGAGGCTCCCAACGTCGTCACTCGACATGGTGCCTCCTGTCATCGCCCGCCACGGTGAAGCATGTGACAAATAAAACAGCACCTTCACTCACGCAACTCCTCTGTATAAAGGAGAAGTTGTCTAAGCGAACGCGCCGCCAAATTTTTTCGCGAGAACGCTTGCTGGCCTGCGTGAGGCAACGCCACGTTCGCTTCTCCGAGTAACGAATAAGACTGTCGGTGAGGCCGCCTGTTGCAATGAGATGGCACTGAACTATTCCTGCTGTTGGTGTGTCACTAAGAAAAACAGCGATGCATCGCGACTGCCCAGGTTTCGTCATACTGGAGCTGCTTATAGACCCTTTCACTGATTACAGACACAGGCCATTGACGACATCCGGTTTTTGCTACCGATGTGCCTCAATAGCATCGGTGGGCAAGAAGGACTTAGAAAATGGCCCACGGATTTTCTACACTTTTCTTCCTTTTGTTTGGCGAACTATACTCGAATAAATGTTTTTGGCCTATATAAAAGCTACAAGGAAATGCCTTGAACATCACGCACGTTTTTTTTTATTTGTAAAACTAATAAAATAATGTCCTAAACTTTGAAAAAACGTAAAAACGTTATTTCAGTTTCAACGTTACGAGCTCGTAAATCAGGTGACCGGAAGTTTTTTTGGGGCTCAACGCTTGCGATATTGAAACCGTCTATCATCATCATCATCATCATCATCATTAGCCTGACTACGTCCACTGCAGGACAAAGGCCTCTCCCATGTTCCGCCAGTCAACTCGGTCCTGTGCTTGCTGCTGCCAATTTATACCGCAAGCTTCTTCATCTCATCTGCCCACCTAACCTTATGCCTCCCCCTAACCCGATTGCCTTCTCTGGGAATCCAGTTAGTTACCGTTAATGACCAGCAGTTATCCTGTCTACGCGCCACATGCCCGGCCCATGTCCATTTCCTATTCTTGATTTCAACTATGATATCGTTACCCCGGTTTGTTCCCTCATCCACTCTGCTCTCTTCTTATTTCTTAAGGTTACACCTGTCATTTTCTTTTTCATTGCTCGCTGCGTCTTCGTCAATTTAAGCAGAACCCTCTTTGTAAGTCTCCAGGTCTTTGATCCGTAGCTAAGTACCGGCAAGATGCAGCTGTTATATATAATCTTCTTGAGGGATAGTGGCAATCTACCTGTCATAATTTGAGAGTGCTTGCCAAATGTGCTCCACCCCTTTCTTGTTCTTCGAGTTACTTCAATCTCGTGGTTAGGCTCCGCGGTAATTACCTGCCCTAAGTACACATAGTCTTTTACAACTTGAAGTGCATTATTACCTATCTCGAAGTGCTGCTCTCTTCCGAAGTTGTTGTACATAACTTTCGTTTTCTGCAGATTAATTTTAGGACCCACCTTTCTGCTTTCCTTGTCTAACTCCGTAACCATGAGTTGCGATTCGTCCCCTGAATTACTCAGCAATGCAATGTCATCGGCGAAGCGCAGGTTACTAAGGTACTCTCAATTAACTATTATCACTAACTGTTTCCATTCTAGGCTTCTGAAAACCTCCTGTAAGCACGCGGTAAATAGCAGTGGGGAGATTGTGTCCCCCTGCCTTACACCCTTCTTGACCGCAACCACAAAATTGGCTGTTCCAGGAGAGTGCGGGGTGTCGTTCACGCCAAAGTAAACGCCTTCGGCTCCGAATTATTCCGTTCGTCGTGACATGTCGCTTGAAAACTGGTTAACGTGGGCCTTGTTGAGCACTTCCCCACATGACTGCTTCCCCAAAACTCATAGGTAAGCGCGACAAATGTATCTTCAATTGGCTGAACACATGTCTGTTCAATGGGTGTAAAATGTGGGCAATTTTTGTTATTATTGCCGTGAGCTGATGCGTCCTATGGCAGCGGCGTGTTAGGAACTGTGTGCCTATTGTAGGTGTCTCGGCCTGTTGCCTCGTAAAACCAAAAACCATTCAGAGACGAAGACGAGACACTCAGAAAAATATCTTAATCATTCCAAGACTCAGCTGTGACTGACTGTTAGCGGCCCGGCTCAGCGGGAGCGTGCCTGTGTCCATTGTTCTCGTCTACCACCGGATGCTCACCGCTACCGCTCCCAAAGCGTATAAAAAATAACAGTTAACACGCAGATGCCCGTAATGCTGGATTCACACGACGGACGTGATCGCGGACGGATCAATGACGTGACATGTGACGTGTTCGGAATTTCTCCGCGGTTCGCATCCACACGACAGCGGAGACGGCGGGGACGGATCGGTCCTACCCTCGCTCCCAGGAGCGTAGGCAATGGCACATTGCAAAGCGCCGACACTAAGTATACTTATTACATGCGTGTTGTTTCGAGTGAAAGGCAGGGGCACCATCACCTTCTTATCTTCTGAACAAAAATCCATATCCACAATAAGTGCTGACTCGCGACATGCACTTTCGCGTGGCATAGAATGATCGTCGAGTTGTGTTGAGTTGTTTTCACACACAGATGCTAACTAGAATCTTACTCATTAACCTTTATTATTAAATATCCCACAAGAGCGTTAAAACAGATTCTTAAGGCAAGACTCTATGTCAATCGAAACCCCCCCCCCCAAGTTTAGTCGTGACAACTTTCCCGCTAAATACAAGAAATAATCCGCACGCACTTCATCCTTATGAACGTCCATGTGTACTTCGCACTCCATTCGCACCTGTGATGATGTAGGACAAGTTAACCATGCAGTAATACAGTCTTTCTTCTATGCTGAAAGAATCGCTTCCTGCGTAGAGCCACACTGAGGCACCAGGCAAGTAAATCAGTCAAATAAAAGTTGATACCACTACCTATCTTACTTTTTCATAAATGCTGAGACACACTGTTATACAAGCTTACGAAAGGCTGCCAGTCGCCCGTCATTTGCACCCGAAGAATCCGGCTCTGCTTCTATATAATGAACATGCATCGCTCTTACATCCACTTTGTTGATATCACTGAGAGATATCAGACATCGCCAGTGCCTCTTCTCGGATGTCTTTCCACAGCTCCATAAAAGCAGCATTGTCTCCTTGTTCTCGAATCTTCTTCTCCATATGAGTGAGAAGCTCCGGTGTAAAGTACTCTTTCCAGCCACCAATTATGGCTGTCCTCACCATGGGAAACTTGGTTTTGTCGCCTCGGTGTCCTCGCTGACAGGACAGCTTGTTCCTAAGAAATATATTTTTCCATTCATCTGAATTGTTGTTCTGAAAGTCTATAACCAATACATCGCGGGAGTACTCCGGTTTACTCAACTCTACAATCTTCTCGAGGAGTTCCTCGTTTTGTTGCAGAACGTTAAAGTACTGCTCCCCCAAGAACTGTGACAATCGCAGAACAGCACCGCGGGTGTCTCGTTTAATACTTTCGTAGGTTATAAACAGAACATTCGGCTCGTCCTTCAAGGCGTAGCCAGTGGCGACGTGGTCAAAGTAGGTACCGTAACCTAGATCAGTCTCCAGAAATGCGTCTACAAACTCCTCAAAAGTGCCATCTTGGAAGTTCCAGATGCTTACATCTGTCACCATGTTGTAGAACGAAACGCATACGTCCCAAGGGTTTCGGGCCAAGTAGATGTACTTGACATGTTTGTTCATTTTGTCTTCACGAACCGGCAAGTGAGTGAAGAACAATCTTATAGGCAGTGCGGACTTCCAGTCATCGTGTCTCATGTACTCTAGGGCGTGAGTGTGGCTTGTGAACTCATTGTACGTCTTCACAGGCTCGCCATTCTTTAGGATGAGTTGCATTATGTACTGCACCCAGTATGTTCCGCTCTTAGGGTACGTGCATTGAATTAAATCGCCTTTTGCAGGTTGAAACTTCAAGCTCTCGCGGTAAATGTCAGCATCCAACCAGGCGCAGCGTGGTACGCCATCGACGACCCTATGGAACGGCCTGCGGGGTACCGCGCCGGGTATTTTCCCACTGGAAGCCTTCTTTATCTGAAATCGAAACAACACTTTTTAGCCTTGCAATACTCAGAAAGAGATATATCAATATAGGATGTACTGATATAGAATGTATCGACGAAATTGCTTATCAAGTTGTAGCAACTTTGCCATTATACGAAGTACCAATACCAGCAGCTGCGTAATGGCCTATTGATTCTTCTATTGCTTTGTACTACTTGGGACGTATATCCCGTATGCCTAGTGAAAGCAACAATGTATCAAAACGGGGAAGCGTAGTTCGTCAGGACAGGTAAGGACTGAACTAGAATTAAGCTGAAACATCAACGAAGGAAGTGAATGTGTAATCATCCTTTACTTGTTCAAAAATATTGTGGTTTGGGATTTCGTCAATAACTGAAACAGTATTATTACCTCCGACACAGACGCGTGCAATTTGAATGGCTCCTGTCTATCCCCATAAAAATGAAATCCAAGTGAACTCACCAGTTCATAAGTCTAGATGACTTTACCAAACATAGTAATTTAGATAACACAAAGCCAGCATGAATTTCTAGCCAATTTGTTTCTGTTAAAACGTGTTGCTGAATGGAAAACAATTATGTGAGCTGCTATGCAGTGTGAATTAAGATAACTTTTTTATCTTGTTATTACCCTACGCTTCCATGATAAGCGAAAAGTTCTCCGCATATCGGATGAGGTTCTATGCTGCAGCATACATAGTATTAAAGGCTGTTTTTCGGTTCACTCAACCGCACTACGTTATCACAAAATCGCATTTGTTTACTCATTGCCAGCACTGCAGAAAAATAGGCAAGTAGGCATTTCTTGGAGGCTAATTTAACAGCTCCAAGGTGTAGAAAAAACTTCGACAGATTTCACGTACCATCGCCATCGACCTTAGACGATGCATACGGTGGGATGGTTACTGTGTTTTGTGTTGTAGCTTGCGAAACGTTACGAAATGGCGCTAAAGATGTCTAATATTGCTGTAGCCATACACATATCTTGAACAGTTGCATATGCGTTATATATGAAAGTGTAAAATACTAGTTCAAGTATTTTACACTTCTGTAACGATGCCGATAGTAACATGAGTGTTAGCAACATCATAATTTGTAAGCTGATATGTAGGGCTAGTGCTCGCTAGGGTAGTAGTCCTGGACACTGCTACAAAAACCAACTTTATTGGATGTCACTTAACTACAATTGACGTGATCTCAACACGAAGGCTACATCATAGCAGTCATATATGTAATGGTTATAAAACTGGATAGTAAGCAGTGCAACCACAATGGACGTTTTATCAGCTTTACACCTCAGTGATGTCTTTTCGCAAAGCAGTATTAAGACCTATCGTGGCTCCATGATAGAATACTTGATATCAGGGAAGATTGCTGTCGGGGCTCTGATATCTTTTTCTTTCCATTTGTCGGGTCAACGCTGTCGATGTCAACTCTTTCAGTCTTAACGATCTCGCTTTAAATTACCAATGTCTGTTCTCACCGTTCCTGAGTAGAAATAAACAGCCAATCACCGGTGGTGCATAATCGCATACCTCGGGCACATACCCACCTGTTGTATACGGGTATTTGCCACGCATTTTTGGAGGAAGGGGTTTGATGATGTGCATGAAGGCGTTGTCACATTCTTCATGTCTTGACAAGCGAGTCATTTTTGTCAAACTATCTTTCCTCCATACTAATTTTGGTTCACCCGAATTCAGAGGGGTGGTAACGAGAGCACCCAGACGTAGGCAGGCAGATAGATAGATAGATAGATAGATAGATAGATAGATAGATAGATAGATAGATAGATAGATAGATAGATAGATAGATAGATAGATAGATAGATAGATAGATAGATAGATAGATAGATAGATAGATAGATAGATAGATAGATAGATAGATAGATAGATAGATAGATAGATAGATAGATAGATAGATAGATAGATAGATGTTTATATTGCAGAATATATGCACAAGGATAACGATAAAGGGAAGCGCAATAAATATACCAATCACTATCCGTGTACACATCTGTCCTGTAGCCCCGCCAGATTATCAAGCCGAAACCGTGATAGTACCAGCGATAGTGTGCTTAGCAGATGTCCTCTATTTTGTGCATTTAATCCACTTCTCTAATCTCGCGTGTTAACTCAAACTGTTTCCTTATCGCTACGTATATACTCTGCAGTTCTGCAAAATAAGCGTCAGTTGAAACTCAGCAATCCTTTCTACTCTGTCCCTTCATGCTTTGTCGCGCTGGGGAATTCGCCATCAAGAACCAATACCAACTATCCCAAGCTTCAACACTTGTAGGCTTTTCTGCTTGTGATGAACTTCGGCGCCGCGGGTAGGTGGCACAGCAACCAATTGGACATGTTGGTTACGTAAATATTCATGCACAACCCCACTGCTTATTCGGGAGGTTCTCATACCTAATACACAATATTACTGTACGCATGTGGAAATTTTTTGGGATGATGCGCGAGTGTGCATGACGAAGAACATAAAAGGCTGTCTCCACTCGGGTCGCTGATTAACCGGTCACGCCTCATCTATTTGTTTTAGTATATTTTGTTTACAGCCTCGTCTATGCAGCGTCTCTTCTCTCACGTAACATGTTTCGTGGATGTGGAGTGTTCACCGTCCTCGCCACGAAGCTTCGCAGTGGCCCCACCGTTCAGCCTCCGGCCATGATTTCCAATGACAGCCACCCCTCACCGTCTCTACCTGCAAAGGCGCATGTCACTTCGTACCTTACGATGTTCCGCCCCGTGATCCGGGTACATTCTCCACGCAACCTGGCTTTGACGTTGACTACTGGCTCTGCATGTACGAACGTGTTAGCCAAACTCGTCAATGAGACCTACCATGCTGCTTGCCAACAAAATCTTTTACTTGTACGGCACCTTGCGCGTATAGTTCGATGCTCGTGAGACCAAGTTCACCAGCTGCGACTGTTCAAGGAGCGACTACGCCACATCTTTGGTAACCCGTCGAGTCGCCACATGGCCGCGCGAAAAAAACTCGCTACCTGTATGCAGTTCTCAACCGAGTCCTATGTCTCGTACATATATAATGTGCTCGCATTGTGCCAGAAAGTGGACGAGCAAAAGATTGAGAGCGACAAAGAGGGTCACATACTCAAGGGCATCGCAGACGGTGGACGGTACTTTCTACTTGCCGGTGTACACTAACGTCTCAAGCATTGATTTCATCATCAAGGAATTCCATCGCTTCGAAATCGCCAAAACCACCGTGTTCTGCCTCAATTTTCTCGGCAACCAAACACCGTTGCCTCGTCAACCTGCACTGATTTCAGCGCCACACCTCCCTATCAGGAGAACGTGATGCGTATCGTTCAACGATAGCTTGAGGCGGCAAGACTAGCGCTGTTTTATCCACCACCTTTATACAGTGGCAGAGCCCAAATACCAGCGGCGGTATCTGTTATTCAGGCAGTCATGCGGTAAAAAATCGGAAACCTTGTTTTCTCTTCACCGACTCCGCCTCCCGACCTAACGCCAGACCGACGCCCATGAATGCACCGCACCATAACCCATACTTTCTCCCCAGATTCCAGGCATGGAGAACTGCAGACGACAAACCAATCTGCTTCCGCTGCCACCACGTTGGCCATGTCTCCCGATACAGCCGCAGCACTTGAACGGCCCCACAAAAGATCAAATATTGTTCCTATTCGTGCGCATACACCAATCCCGTCGATATTCGCCCAGCCGTGAGTATCCTGCTTGCCATGCGCTTAAAAGCCGCTCTACCGATCGTTCAACTGTCGCTTCAACGACGCCACTATACATCGCCGACCAACAATGCATCCTGTAGCACGAAACACTAGATCATGCAGCTTCTAGAAGTAGTGCTGAATCAATTGCTACTGATCCAAATGCTCCGTTGACGCTGCCTATACTAAGAAATTGATTAAAGTGCAAGTCGATAGTCTTTCTTTGCTGCCATCAGTTGATTCTGAAGCTCAGGCGTCAATATGAGTGCCCCTCTCTGTCGCCGCTTCAAAAACGTACTCACGCCTGCCGCAACTCAAGCCGTCCGTGTCGCCGATGGTGGAACTGTGGCCGTCATTGGAATGTGTACCGCTCGTATTAGCCTTGCCGGCCGCCATGTTACTGTTTTATTTGCAGTGCTTGAAAATTTCCCTCACGACCTCAATTCGGGATCGACTTCCTATCGGCGTATTCTGCCCTGGTTGTTTGTTCGAGCACTACTTTCTATTTAGAACTTTCTATTCTTTCAGATTCTCGCCCGCAAGTCGCGAACAGCCTCTGTAGCACAGACTTCATTCGGAAACAAAATAAAGCCCTCAGATTTGTTGAATTGGCAAGAGCCTCCCCCAGGCTTGACGACGATTATATCGTTACACCCATTCCTATTGTTCTCCCGGCACGTGACATCGCTATGCCACACTCCGTAGTAACCATGGCCTTTAACCTTACATGTCCCCCTGTTACCAATTTCGATTGTACAAAGCAAGTACTATTTCAAGGTACGTAAGTCATGACACTGCGACGCCTAATAGACAACCACATCACCAAATTTACGGCAGATGTATGCTTCGATATTCCACGTCACCCGCATGATGTCACATACCACGATACGGCCTTAAGGCCTATGGTAGCCCAAATAAATATTGAAGCCTTTTTGAGCCCTTGGTGGTGTTTCGGTTTGTTCGTTAAAAAAATCACAGGGTATCAACGGAGGGAATGATGATAAGTGGGACGAAGCATCCATCCGTCCGTCCGTGCGTCCAAATGAACGGACAGATGCACGGACGCTCGGATGGACAGATGGACAGACAGGAGCACGAAGGCACGAACGGATGGATAGACGGAAGCAACACAGACAGAAGCATGGACGGACGGACACACCGATGGACACATGCACGAATAAACGAAAACACTAATGAACAGACGGACAGACAGATGGATGAACGGACACACGGACGGACTCACGAATGGACGGGTGGACGGACAGAAGCACAGATGGAAGCACAGA